TAGGGATTATTTCACAATTTTTGTGAAATAAAAAAGAGAAAAATATATATATGAAGTAGATCGTTCTCTGAACAGTTTAAGAAAGTAAAATGTAGAGAAAATAAATCAAACAGAGTACCTCAAAAAAATCTAGAAAAACCCTAACCTTGTGTGGTGGTTCTTGGCTAGGTGAAACGACGATGGCAACAGAGGCCCTCGGATCATTTTCTCGACTTTCTTTGCCACTTTAGCTCTCGAATCCATGAATGACAATCGAAACTCCTTCCATTCCTCTAATCTCATCCCTTCTATCGCCTCCTCCCGCCAAAATCCGCCGTTATTTCTCGATTTCTCCGACACGTGAGTCAATTCTTCTGCTCGCTTCTTTGCCACTTCAAACTTAGACACTAAATCGGCGAAATCGCGATTAAACTCCGTTACAGGAACAAAATTCTCGGCCGGCTTCGGCGACGACAAATTTCGAGTCAGATACCGATCCAAAAGCACGTCAACATTCGGATGACCAAAACAAAAAACCGAGAGAAGGCAATGATGGCAACCTCTGCTCCGCAAAGCACAACCATCTTGAAAAGTCAGACCCACAAGATTCATAAATTTACAAGATTCTCACTTAAGTATCTCTTTAAAAAAAATACTTATAAAATTTTAAAAATAACATTAATGAGAAAGAGAAAAAAAAAAATTACCCTCAAAATGGAATGGAAGTGAGAGATGATTTGTCAATGTAAATAGACATTTTAAACCCGTGTATTAAAACATTTTTAATAAAATTTAAACGTATTAATCCTATTTTTTTAAAAATTAATTTAGATTCTTGAGTATAAGATATTTTTTTAACATTTTTGGAAGTTTGAAAGTTTGAGATTAAGTTAACAAATTTGTCCTATTTTTAGACTAAATTTATATTTCTTCCTCTATAAATAGTATCAAACTCTCATTTCTTCTTCACTTCAAACTTCACTAACAAACCAAATTCCACAATGAATTTCTTCACTCTCCTAGCTATTCTTTTCGGATTCTCCTTTTGTTCTCTGTTTATTGGCAATGGCCCTGTCGTCATTCAAGCTCTCCATAAAATCTATCCTGAATTACAGTCTCTCGAAAATGGCAACGACACCACCGAGATCAAGCAGCTCCATCGAACCGGCTTCCACTTTCAACCTCATCGTCACTGGATGAACGGTTCGTAATTTCTACATTTTCATTCCCTCCTTTCCTCCGGTTGTTA